GGGGAGGCGGGCGGAGCGGCCCCGCCCGGCCCCCTCCGGGAGAGGCACCCGCGGCATGAACCGCCACCAGCAGCCTCAGGGAAAGCGGCTCTCCCGACCCCCCGTCTGACTGACATGGCCTGTGCACCAGGAGGTACGGCCAGAAGAGGGAAATGTGACCTCTGATGGGCACCACTCTTCCCTTAAAATTACGTTTTTCAGTGCTTTTCGTGTGAAAACACGCTCACCAATCTCACGTCTTGTAGGGATGTGAACACAAATGTCACCCCAAGTTCACTGCAGCTCTCCATCCAGCAAAGACCTGAACCCCGAAGTGCTGGTGCCGCCTCTCTTTAGCAATCTGCAGATCCTAACAGAAGGTGAATGACACTGGACCGAGAGCTGGAGTTCGGAGGATGCAACCGAGGATGAAGCACGCACAGGGCAGTCTGCTCCTGGCCAGCCCTCACACAAACTATTTCACACAACCGTTCAAGCCTTGAACTGCCACAGGAGCCAGAACCGAGGGTCTCCCAAGGAGCAGGGCAGACTGTGTCACATCCAGCCGGAGCTGCCCACCAGGGCAGCCCGGCTCAAGCGGCTCCCTCCGCCCAGCGCCGGCAGCCGGGAGGGAGGGGCACCACGACGGCCACTCTGCCCCTCGCCTCTGCTGCTCTCCACGCGTTTGTGAGCAGTCTTTGTCAGAGACAGCAAAAACGGACCCTTGATCTGACTACAGCCAAGCTTCACACGGTGGGGATGAGCACCCTGCCGAGATGTAGGGTGCCAGGGCACCTTTCCTTGCAGCGCCTGCCTGTGCAGACAGCCGGCGTGCGGCCCTCCCTCCCTCTGCACAGGCTGCCGCACTGCCACCGCTCTCCCTGCTGCAGCAGAGGTATTTTTATCTCTCCTGAGTCAGAAACCGACGACAAGCACAGTTTGTCACAAGCTTCTGGGTGGAATTGGTATGTGCTTTGCAGCTGGATCACAGTGTTCCAGTTTAGCTCAGTCCTGCCAATAGAGCTGAGAATAGTGCTCACTGGGAGCACCCCTTGTGTTCCCTTGGGTGGCCACCCGTACCTTCCCGACAGGTTGTACAGATCTGCTGGCTTTCAGCATAAGGTCACGGTGCAGAGATCAAGGATCAAGGCTGGTGCTCCACTAAACTCTAATCTGCAGTAGAACTAGAAATTGAAACACTGGCTACAGATTATACAGGAGGATGCTGTCAGGCATTACTGGCTCATACAGGGGTCTGACTCAATTCCTGATTTCAATACAGGTAGGAGGCTGCTTGATCCATCCTATCAAGAAATACTTTTCCAATGACTACTTCAATCTGCCTGTCTTGCTTTTAGCCACTCCTTTCTGCTGCAGGTGAATGTTCCTCTGGCATTTTTCTGTCCATCCTTGCAAGCGTATTAACACTCCATGGCAATAGGAGATCAAGAAAACTGAGATGATGAGTAAGAGATGACGAGTAAGAGATGACAAAAACTGACCACTTCATCTACACGAAGTGTGAAAATACCATGGACTTAGGGGACGACGAAGCAGGCAGGCTTTTGTGCTCATTCTTTCCGTTCCTTCTAGCTAAAGTCACTTCATGGTTTAATTCCCAAGAACTACATCATGTGAAAGTCCTCATGGAACAGGTGGACCTACACCTGCCCCAGAGGAGTCATCCTCTCCAAACTTTGAGTGACAACAGGCTCAGGAAATAAGTAATGAATTCTAAAAACAATTCATTAAACTTTTCTCTGCAACTCAAAATTCCTCTTATTTTTTTAAGCGAAAAAATGCATCACCAAAACTTTATATTGGAAAATAATTCTTTGAAAATAGAATTTGTTGGAAATAAATAACGCAGTGATTTTCAACAATAAATTTACTATCAGAATCAACTCTTACTATGTTGCATAATTACACCTAAGAAGCAAAGTAAAGCAGGCTGAATTTCCTTTTCAATTGCTAGTAGAGCACATATCTGGTTTTTGGCATACTTAGTCCTTAATTGTCAGTTTCTCTTTTCCTAATTCTGAAGAACTGAGTTATTTTCAATGGCACTTTAGAGTCTTGCTAGTAGAAACAGATCCTGGATCCTGGAAAATTAAATCTAAGAATGCCAATAAAAAGGTAAGCAAAACTACCCAACAGGGAAAGGTCCTATCTCATGGTTGTAATTATAAAAATGCGTTATAATCTGGAAAGTAGTTATACAATTATGAATTTTAATTTTAACACTGCTTTGTGTTACAGTACTCTAACAGAGGCTGCTTATCGGTTTCACATAAATCAGCTTCCTGTTGTTCAGTGCAAGCATTTTCTGCCTTTTACAAATACAGGAGTACTGGGCTCACCACCTCCCCTTACAACCATTCTCCTGGCTACATACTCTACGGTAGCGTACACCAGAAACAGAGATTGAAAGAAAGTTAAAGCCATAAAGCTAGAAACTGAAAAATTCAAATTTATACAACTGCTTTCAGATGACACAATTTTATAACATGTAAGCTGCCTAAATTTGGGTGTTTGCCTTCGCAAAGTAATGCTTTACACAGACCAAATGCTTTCGAAAACCAAACTGAAGAATGACATTTCTGTTGTACACACCTTCCTGACAACAGTTTGGGTCATCAGGCAGGTCCAGATCTTTAACTTTTTAGTATGTGAGATAATGAAGTAAGAGAGAGCAAGCCACTGTCCTCAGGCAGCCCTAGTCACTGCAGAGATGAGTCATCCCTGAGAGCAAACAAGTGAAGTCACAGGGACTTGAGGCTTAACTCAAATCCTGCAGGAAGCTATCCACTCCCAAGACACTCTTCTGCTCCAGGCCCCCTGTCTGTCTCTACTGCCTCTAGCCTGCAGGTCCTGCTCCTCTTCTTACACCTTTGGCTGGCTTTTGATTCAATGCCTGCTCTCCACCAGCGGCTCCTGTACTCCCACCTGCCTGCAAAGTCTCCTCTCCAGAGGCTTTCATTTTCCAACAAATTATCTTTATAACTTGCTCTGCCTGAAGATAATACCTGAAGATACTGCTGCATACTGGATTAAAAAGATGTGAAAAACTGAAGAGGAAAGTAATTTTCTTTCCACTTTCCTACGATTTAATTTTATTTTTTTTTTAGTAATTGTGTGTGACAAACAATTGCAATCACAATTGCACGTGCAGGGAGCAATATGCAGACTCCATGAGGAAGGAAACTGCAAAGCTGTCATTCTTAGATTGAATTTCAGGACATGATTTCACAGGGTTGAGGTGAACTGAAAATGGAATGACTGGAACCAGCAGCTGAGCAACTTCTCAGCAGAGCATGCAACCAGAGCAGCCTCAGTCCTGTACATTTTAGTGATTTAAGCACTAAAAAGCCAAACCCAGCAACACAACAGCCTTTAAAGCATGACATCTGTTTAGGGGTTCTACATCATACATATGGACTGAAGGGGGAAAAAAAAAAAAAAAGGAAAGACTATAATGTGCTATTTCAAATGTTCCCATTTGTTATAAAACCTCAGCTGTAAGAGTGGTTCAGTCTAGGTCCTACTGGGACTCCACTTTCCTTACTTGTCCCTGGAGCAGTCTTTCAGGGTGCAGGAGGAACAGCTGTTCTCTGGAGCCCTATTTGCTCTCAGTGTTGGCTGGATAATGTATGCGTATTTTCTGGTACTAATCTCCCAATCAGTAAGTCTTATTATGAAGCCTTCACAGAATTGATTTAAAAGTCATCTGCGACTTGCAGAAAATTCCAATTAGTCACTCTCTGAAAGGCACATTATGTAAGTTTAATCCAGTCACAGGGTTCAGTCGACATCATATAAATTATCTTTCTAAAAAGGGAAATCAATGCATTCCCATTTGTTGAGTAATAAAGTGGAATTACTTCAGGAAGCAAAAATCCAAAACCAAACCCAAACCAAAACAGAAAATTCAAGTCAGGTTAAGATCACAGATCCTAGACTAACCAGATTAGAATTGATCAGTTGATCCTGAAGCCCACGTCCATTTCCAGTACAATGGAATGTTTAGTTTTCTGAGCACCTGGCTCCACTCTCAAACACATTATCATGTTTTCTTCAGAATGCATGTGTAACACACTGCAGGCTTTTCATTCTCAAATGGTATTTTCATGTTGTTATGACTAAATATGCCTTTATTGTTTCAGAATTTATATATAACATGATCCCTTCCCTGTATTTTAATAATAACCAGCAGTTATATTGCATGCATTTTAAAAAAATGTCAAATATGATGCATTATTGTACATGTATCAAGAAACACGTATCAAGAGATCTGGTTTACTATGCAGTGAGCCACTGTACATTTTGCAGTATTCTGTTTCACAGTATAGCTAACTTGGCCAAATGCATATGCTCAGAAAATCCTTGCTTGTATGAACACTTTATGAGCCTATTTTATGGCCTCAGTACATGATTTTCAAAAGCTAATCACTTGGATTGTGAAACTGAGCCAAATTTCCTCAGTGCCGCTCTTAGTGAAAGTTTGTTCCAAGCTAAATATAACTTTTCCAGTCATATCTTTCATAGGATTGTTCTTAAGGGGAAAGAGGAACCCAAAATTTTACTTTTCATTTAAAAGTGGTGATAATCTGCTTTCAGTGAATTTTCTTCACTTGCAGAATGCTAATACCAGGCATAGCCTCTGCCCACATGGTATGAGCAGAGGGTAGGAATGCTATTAAAACAGAAGTTCAGCCTGACATCTGACTTCCCACGCTGGGTGGGAAGGACTATCACACAGTCTCAGCCACTTCTCTTGCTGCCATTCCAACACAGCCACATTCACCTGGCACATGGACACCTTCAGGCTCCCACAGGGCTCCAGCAGAATGGAATCCTCAGGCAACACAGAGCCCCACTTTCAGTCACCCACAAGGAGTTGGGTTTAAGTCATGGTTAAATGATGAAATCTTACTCCTGAGAAAAGTTCTGGTTTTTATAACAATATATTCCAAATGGACCGACTTCTAATTAAATCAGACCTTCCCCTCCAGTGAACTACTTATAGCAAAATCTAAAATCTGAAAAAAAAATGGCTATTTATGTTTTTGCTAAAAGTGTATATGATTTCCATAGCTGGTAATGAACATTTTTATACCTAGAATTTTAAAAGAAAGTTTAAAAAAATGTTTAATTGAAAATTTAATCAAACAAATTCAGCCAAAATGTTGGCTTGACTTAAAGTAAGGCTGTTAAATATAATTAATTAATTGATTAAATAATCAAATCCAAAGTTTAAATTATGGAAAAAATGTTGCCTGATATTGCTACCTGAAATTACTGCATCAAAAGTGAGTTCCTTCAGTACTATATTGTGCAATACAATTAAAGTGTATTGGCATTATTTGGGAAGACTGTTCCCAGTGGTGTGTTCACCATGCAGAGCATACTCATAAAAATGCAGAAAGATCTTCAGAAAAGCCAACAGAAAAGCTTTTCTGTAGCTTTACTCCTAAAACCTGTAGGAGCTGCATCAGTGCAGCTGATTGGGATCTGGGTTTATTTTGTTCCTAGTGACAGGCTGTAGATTTGCTCCTGGCAGTTACTTACATGGGCCTTTGGAATGACAATTCCAAACTGTGCAGCAGCAAAAACCACCCATTTGACTATTCATCTCTTTCAGTTACTGGCAAGGCAAAACCAATAAACATTTACTGCTCTGGATAGTGGCACAAAAGCAAGGCACTTTCCAGTGGCAAATACAACCCATTCTTTTCCTGGGTGGGGGGGGATATATTTTGGTATATAACTATGGATCTAAACATGGCAAAAATAAAATAAAAATTTCTCAGTACCTTCAGGAAGAAGTTCTGCTTTTGGTCTGGTTCTGGAGGACTTTGCTAATATCAAGTGACTGTGCTTTCAGAGAGGTCAGCAACTGGCCTGCCATGTACAGGTAATTCCAGGGGTTACCTCCACACTCCACAGGTACAAATCCCACTACAGGGGTGTATGTGGGCACATGGTAGGGTGTGCACAGGTAGGGGTGTGATGTTGCAATCAGTAGTGGTGCTCACCATTATTGGTGAGCTATAATATATATAAGCTATATATATTATATATTAGCTACAGCTACAAGCTTCTTTATGCAACATAAATAGTGCTATGTGAGTATATACATACAGAGTTGCACTGTGGATGAAGAAGTGCAGTCAACTCAGGACAAGCAGGAGCCACAGGGCTCTTCCCTACAGACACCAGTGCAAGATGTCCCCATGGCCTCAGCTGCCAATAACCCACTGCTCCAACACTTTCCCTAATGGCAGATACTACCAGCCTGCTTGTGAGAGGCAGGACGTGACTGCTTTACAAAAGGAGAGCTGCCACCAAGCTGTGTGACACTGAGGCAGGAGATGCCAATCAAACACCATGATAAAAGCTACCCAAAAAGCTAAGAAATGAGCTCCTAACTCTGACTGTGGTGAGGAAAGAAGTTCCCATGACTATGAGTTTAAGCTGA